GCGCTATGAGTAGGTTCCGACTCGATGGCACCTGACAACAACAACAACAACAACAACAACAACAACAACAACTGTTCTAAGGGAAGCACAGTGACTTCATAAGATAAACACTGGACTGCGAACCCCAAGGCCCATGGTTTGAACCCACCAGCCACTCAGTGGGAGAAAAATTGGGCTTTCTGTTCCCACGAAGATTTAAAGCCTCTAAAACCCTATATAGTGTTGCAATTTGTCAGAACTGACTCCATGACACTGAACAACGGCTGTTCTAAGACTTTTACTTACAAACTACCCCAGTGTCTGCCTACCATCCCTACCCAACCAGGTTTCTTTGAGCAGAATTACAAATAAAATTATTCATATAACATTAGTCATACAAGTATTCGCAAAGCTTATATTCAGATATTCACGTGGTTGTTGTAAAGTGCCCTCAAGTCAGTCTGATTCATAGTGACCCTGTATAGGGTTTCTGGGAAGCAGCTGGTGAGGTTGAATCACCAACCTTGTGGTTTAAACCAGCTTTGCAATCCAATGCATTAACCCACAGTGCCACAGCAGGACTCCTTAGATACCCACAGGGAATAGAATTTCATTCTAACCTCCAGGAGAACCTGATGACATAGATAAAGCAAGTTAAGTGCAATCTAAGTTAATTCAGGAAAAATTTGAGGCTTTTTATCATTTAAGTACCAATTGTTGTTGTTAAGTGCCGTTGAGTCAGTTCCAACCCATAGCAACCCTGTATAGGGTTTCTCCAAGGAGCAGCTGGTGAACTTGAGCCACCGATCTTGGGGTTCAAACTGACTTTGCAGTCCAGGCCATTAACCCACAGTACCACACCAGGACTCCTTAAATACCAATGGTGGTGGTTATGTGCTGTGGAGTCGGTTCCGACTAATAGCGACCCTGCACAGGGTTTCTGAGGCTATAAATTTTTAAAGGAGCAGAAAGCCTCATCTTTCTCCTGTGGAACAGCTGGGAGTTTCGAACTGCTGACCTTGAAGTTCATAGCCCGATTCATAACCACTACGCTACCAGAGCTCCAGTGTTGTTGTTGTTGTTGTTGTTGAGTACTGAGGAGTCTGTTCCGACTCAGAGTTTCCAGGGCTGTCTTTACAGGAACAGAAAGCCTCATCTTTCTCCTGCGGAACAGCTAGTAGTTTCGAACTGCTGACCCTGAGGTTAGCAGCCCGATTCATAACCATTACGCTACCAGAAGAGCTCCAGTAGACAATGTCTATTCCCATGTGGTAAACCAGAGCTCCAATTGTTGTTGTTGTTATGTGCCGTGGAGTCGGTTCTGACTCATAGTGACCCTGTGTAGGGTTTCTGAGGCTGTAAGTCTTTACGGGAGCAGAAAGCCTCGTCTTTCTCCCGCGGAACAGCTGGTAGTTTCAAACTGCTGACCTTGCGGTTCGCAGCCCGATTCGTAACCACTATGCTACCAGACAGAATTCCTTTGTGAATGGCTTTTCTTTGTCCTTGGTCTTCACTCCATATGAGAAGTTAACATTCTTGTTCAAATTCTCTCTGGAGAATTTGATTCCTGGGTAGTGAGAGAAACTTTTGAAACATTAGTTTACATCTGGATGCTTACAATGATGCTCTGATTTGTTGTTTTACCTACCATGATATTTTGAGGAGCTTTAAGAGAGTGCATGCTGACAATTGTTATTGTTAAAGTGCTGTTGAGACATCTCCAACTCATAGTGACCACGTATAGGATTTCCAAGGAACGGCTGGTGAGTTTAAACCACTGGCCTTGTGGTTCAAACCAACTTTGCAGCCCAGTGCTTATCCAACACTGCCCTACCAGGACTCCATGCTGACTATTAGCGGGTAACGGTGTGGTGGTGTGTAGGATAAGTACTAGACCGAAAGTTCAGTTTGAACCACAAGGTTAACAATTCAAACTCAGCAGCCACTCCTTGGAAACCCTATACAGGGTCGCTATGAGTCGGAAATGACTCGATGGCACTTAACAACAACAATGCTAAATAATATCATTAAAATATTTATGATGAATTGCACAAATGGCACCTTATAAGTTCATTGTTTCCCTAGTACATGTTCAGTGTTAAGGTCAAAACAAATGCTTTTTAAAAGTGCTTGGATATCCCAGCAGATTATATGCAGAGTAGGATAAACATTGGAACACAAGGTTGGTTTGAACCACAAGATAAGTGATTCAAACTAACCTGCCACTCCTCAGAAATCCTATAGGGTCACAGTGATTCAGAACTGACTCGACAACACCTAACAACAACGGCAACATTTTGAAAAAGCATTTATCAATATAAGTAAGATTCAATTCATACCTCTATTCTTATCACTGCCTTTATAGTTCAGTGGCTCTTAAAGAAATACAATGTGTAATATCCAATTTCAGATGCCAATTGCAATCTTCTCAGGCTCAGTGTTCAATTTATATTTTCTTATGAAACTTTTCTATAGGACAACCTCTGCTTTAATACTAGATTTTTATGTCAGACTTTCAATACAGACTGCTGGTGGTGGTGGTGGTGGTGGTGGTGTGCTGTGCTGAGTGTCTTCCAGCTCATAGCAACCCTGAATAGGTTTTCTGAGGCTGTAAATCTTCTTCTGCAGTGGGGCTAGTGGACTCCAACTGCTGATCACATATGGTCAGCAGCCCAAGGCATAACCCACTCTGTTACCAGGGTTCCTTTTTTTTTTTTTTATTGTGAATTGAGTGAACGTTTACATGACAGATCATCAGTTTTACATTCAACAAATCATACACATACACCTTGTTTCATTACAATGATTATAATCCCCTCCATGTACCATTAGATAACAGTATTTCTTGCAATTCACTTTAGTTTTTTTTGTTGTTGTTGTTGTTGTTTTTGTTTTCTTCAAACACTCAGGCATATATAATACTTTACACCACCAAAGGGCACGTTCTACAAGGCTGCCTCCTGGCCACTATATATCAGTTCCATGAATCTAGTGTCCTCAGCTGCTCCCTCTCTCCATGTCCCCATTTCTGCCTCCATCTCTGGTGTAGCTACTTCTCTGGATGAGGTCTCGAATTCTGCTTGTGTTCTTCTCCCTTGATGGTCCTAGTGTCCTGTTTCTGGACTGTAAGGTTAACTACTCCCCCAGAGTTCCTTTTAATACAGACTACAGATTACTAGCTAAGTAATCATGAAATGTTGTCTGATACCAAATATTTAAGGAAAAATCATTTAATCTTTCCATTTGGGAAATTGCAAAGAAATCAATCCTACCCACTCCCCTGTTTCCAGAGTTCAGCTAACAGAGGACTAGGAACAAAGGAATGCAAATAAACTACATCTTAGCCTCACTAGGTGTAGGTCTAGTATGGCAGATAGTCTATAGCTTTGCTGGGTTATGATCTCATTATGTCTCTCACTTCTGCCTACAGGTGTCTGTAGGTTATGTTCATTTGAGACTTCTTCTTTGGGAATTTCCTGGTGTGGTTAAGTGTCTGCTGGAACTGGAGTTTGCTGCCTACCTTCTTGCCATGTCTAACGAAGTAGAAGCAAGTACAACAAATGGTCAGCTTGACCAACAGGCTGTACCCAAAGCATCATCAAAGAAGAAAGGTATGGAGAAATCATCTTGACCCCAGTGAGGGTAGTGGTGGTGGTGGTGGTGATGTGCCATTGTGGGGGTGTGCTGTTGAGTCAGTTCCAATTTATAGTGACACCCTGTGTAGGGTTTCTGAGGCTGTAAAACTTTATAGGAACAGAATGCTTTATCTTTCTCTCATGGAGCAACTGCTAGATCCAAATTGCTGACCTTGTGGTTAACAGCCCTACTTGTAACTCACTACACTACTAGGGCTCCTTAGTGAAGGAGATAGAGGTGGTTATGTCTGGTGAAACGTGAGATTCAGGATTAAGTCAGAGGTGGCCCTTGCCTTCCTTCAGCCTCAGTTTAGTCTCAAACGATCCCAGTGGTAGATCTAGGTTTAATTCCCATCAGTGTACCCTCATGCATGGCTACCATCATCAATGGTAGCTTGTGGATTAGTAGGAGGCTGAACAGGTTTTAACAAACTTTTCGGACTAAGACAGGCTACTAAGAAAGGTATGAAGATCTGCTTCCAAGAATCAGTCACTAAAAACTCTATGGCTCACAACAGAACACTGTCCCATCTGCAGCCAATCGTGAGGATGACATACAGCTGAGCAGCACTGTGTCACCATGAATTGGGGCTGGCCAGACAGAAGCTAACGAACAACATCCTAAATAGGAAAGTTGTACTTTTGGCAGAGGATATAGGCTGGCTTTTCTAGAGAAGGAAGACCAGTGAAACATATATATTTAGACGGTCTCCAATATAAGAGAGAGAGCAAGTCTTTCCTGCATGTCCATTATATTGGGAGCACGCCACACCCTTCAACAATTGGCTGCTCATAGCCACTCACCGTAGAGCTAACTATGCCTGTATTGGGTTCCATCACCATGGGAATAAGCACATCCAAACTGCCAAACTTCTACAAGTCCTGACTTTGACACAAAATCTGAGCCATTACAACCCCATATACAATGTCTCTGAATTCTGAGATTTCTGGGAAACTTGAAGAACATCAGATTCATTTGATAAATACAACTGTTAATTACTTTAAAATTTCATAGAAAACTTCCATTATCTTTTCATTCCATTTTTCCACAAAATTTTTGAAGCTTCCTCATATTACCTTGAAGTAATCTATTTACCACTTTGTCTTATTCAAATAGCTACCTTTAGAAATCAAGGTCTTTATTTTTTTAGGCCTTCTTGTTTTGATCTGAAGTGCCAGTAGAAAGTGCCAGAGGGCTTAATTATTCATATATAGATAACAAAATTTCCTGCCTTTCTTGCCTTTCATTAATACACTAGCTATAAGAATAAGACTGCACAGGCTTTTTTAAGAGATGTGAAAGACATTCTACAATTCCCTTTTGCCAACTAGTAGTTCAAAATGCTAGTAAATTATGTGGCAATTTTTTTTCCCTGCCTAAAAGTATTATTCTCCTTATATTTTTCAAAACCTTAAATAAATTTTTAAAAAACTATGATAAAGAATAGCCTCAAATCCCACTTCACTTATAACTGCCAGTCTCCTGTAGGTCAGTCCGCTTTGTATTTTCAATATTTATTTTCTCGAACTCCAATTTCATTGTTGTTGTTGTGTGCCATTGAGTCAGTTCGGACTCATAGCAACCCTGTATTGGGTTTGTAATAGTAGTAACTGGCAAGTTGATTCTGACTCAACAGCGACTCAATGCAGGTCAATAAAAATGTTTCAGTGGCTGATTTTTCAGTAGATTTTTCTTTCAAGGCACCTCTAGGTGGTTTTAAACTGCCAAGCTTTTGGTTAACAACAGAGTGAATAAGCCATGGCATGATCCAGGCTAAAAATAGCAATAGAGAGCATACCTGTGCTAAAATGAAGCAAGAATAAGTATTGTTGGTAGGTGCCATCAAGTTGGTACCAACTCATAGTGACCCTATGCACAACCGAATGAAACACTGCCCAGTCCTGTGCCATCTTCACAATCATTGTTACGCTCGATCCCATTGCTGCTGACACTGTGCCATCTCATCTGGCTGGGGGACAGGGGTCTTCCTCTTTTTCACTGACCCTCCACTTCACCAAGCATGATCCCTGTGATAACATGTCCAAAGTATGAGAGATATAGTCTCACCATCATAACTTCTAAGACAGCATGTTGTTGTTGTTAAGTGCCTTTAGTTGGTTCCAACCTATAGTCACCCTATATAGTGTTTCCAAGGAGTGACTGGTGAGTTTGAATCACCTACCTTGTGCTTCAAACCAACTTTGCAGTCCAGTGCATGAGCCCACAGCACCGTACCAGGACTCCCTAAAACAGCATATGAATTACAGATTTAGTCAGTTATACTTTAATCAAGAAATTCAACTTTCGGAGATTCTGGAGCATATTTGATTATACCTTGGATTGATATTTAAATATACTTGGAAACTTTATACTGTATTTCTTTTTATCTTCAGGCTCTGGAAAGACAGATGAGTATCTCTTGGCCAGGTTCAAGGGTGATGGTGTAAAATACAAGGCGAAGCTAATTGGTATTGATGATGTGCCAGATGCAAGAGGGGATAAAATGAGCCAAGACTCTATGATGAAATTAAAGGTAAAAGGAAGAAGGTGTTGTCTGTATCATAAGCAAATGTCCAACATAAAGGAATTAGAAGTTCTTGTTTGCCTTTATCTTAATTATTTTCATGAAAAACTTTTCTAATCACATAATTGATCTAGTTGAACCTCATTTTATGAGAAGCTATGAATTTTCTAGCATATTTGGACACTGTTCTAGAAGGCTAATTTAGTCAAGTACAGTTGATTCTGGATGCCTTTCCTTTTTGGCAGATTCAACTTTGGACTATCCAAGTCTGCTCCTATCATTTTCCTCATTAATTAAATAACTATAAAGGCTTTTTGCAAATGTTTGCCTTACTTTCCTTGCTTTATGTAGAGAGGGAAAAAACAAAACAAAAAACTTTTAGACCCTGGGAGTATTCAGGTAAAATTCAGGAACTCTCCTTGGATACTCGTGTGCTTGGATATTAGCCCTCAGTGTTGTGAATTTTTGAATTCCAGTACTATGAATATGTTGCTGTGTGGGAAAAAAAAAAGTTAAATAATGCAAGGTCTAGAAACAACATCGTTAAAGATACTCTAATTTAGGCACCTTATTTTTACCAGTGACAATTCTGAAGCCAAGAGAATTAGAATGACTTTTCCAAGTTCACATAGCTAAGTCATGATGTTCTGGCTCAACGTTTTCTTCCATCTGCTCTCTCGTGTAAAAGATGCCTATCCCTTTCATAGATGGTAAACCAAGCTTAGAGCAAAGATGACTGTCTTTTGCATGTTTAATATTAGAAGGATTATAGAATACTTTTAACTAGATTTTTCTTGCTTTCCCAACCTTACCAGGGAATGGCGGCAGCTGGTCGGTCTCAGGGACAGCACAAACAAAGGATCTGGGTCAACATTTCACTTTCTGGGATAAAAATAATTGATGAGAAAACTGGGGTAAGAATTCACTTTTATTGATACTGGTCTGACCACCCAAACCTGACTACTTACTACTTGAATTAAGCCCCCTGCCCCTGTTTCCTTTTCAAAGTTCCATAGGAAAACATACACACACACAATATTTATTACTTCTCCAGCCGTAACAGGCAGAAAACCAAGAAGGAAGTGAGGAATCAAGATGCTTTCTTTTGAAATTCATCTCCTATAATAAATAGGAATCTCAGTCTATAAACACAGTTATCATATAGGTATCAGTTAAATAATCTGGAGACCTCATATACACAAAACCAGAACTTGCTGAATAGTTAGGCCTGGTTCCTGACAATACTGTGAATTTATGCATGGATCTTACTTAACATGTTGATCATATGTGAACTTACTATCTAGTGCCAAGCTAGAACATCAGGGGAAACACATCCAGTTTTTTGGTTTTGTCTTTTAAATTTCTCCACTCCCTCCCTTCTCACCCCACTCAGGTAATTTGCTCCACTTTTGTGGTTTCTATTATTCTAATACACGTGAGTAGTCTTGCTTTGTTTTTTGAATCTCATCAAAATGCTATCACAAGTTTTCTAGGACTTTAGTTTCTACTCATCATACTACAATGAGATTTGTTATTGTTAAATGCCATGGGGTCGGTTCTGACTCATAGTAACCCTGGATGGCATTTCCAAGGTGTTAAATCTTCTTGGAAACAGAAAGCCCCATCTTTCTCCCACAGAGCAGCTGTGGGACTTGAACAATGGACCTTGTGGTTCACAGTCCAGTGCTTATCGTATGGAGCCACCACACTCCCACACTTAAAACCTTACTTGTAATTTCTTTTTCATTCCTATTCTATGGTACCAAGGCACTGCTAAGAGCCCTCAGCCCTTCCCAGAGATAACCATTGTCCAATATACAATATGCTTTTAAAATGCTGAGACCTGGAACCCTGCTATTCGGCCAGTGTCCCTGCTGATCCTAGGTCCCTGTGCCTGAGAACCCACATACCATTGTTCTATCCTCCCACCATCTCTGAATTCTTATTTTCCCCAGCCTGCTAGATACTGGAGTCAGGTTTCCCCACACACATTCTCTCTTACCTAAAGCCTTCCTAGATGTCCAATATAAACTTTTAAGTGGCCTTAGGCATTTGCAAACAAAAGTCAAGATACATTCAACCCACCTAGAAATGCCCCAGAGGAGCTGAGTCCTGCTACCTGTATGAAAGGAGCAAGAAATGGGAGCGAAATAGAAGGATAGGTACTACTAAGTCCCCATAATTCCCCACTACATGGCATTGACTGTGTGAGGTTCAGAAATACTTGATGACAACATATGTTACTGTTCTTAAATGCCGTAGAGTCGGTTCTGACTCATAGTGACCCTGAATAGGGTTTCCGAGGCTGTAAATCTTTACAGGAGCAGAAAGCCTCATCTTTCTGCCACAGAACCACTGGTATTTTCGAGCTGCTGATTGTGAGACCAGCAGCTCAACTCACAACCACTGCACTACCAGAGTTCCTTGATGACAATATATACTGGGGGTAAATGTTCCAATAATATTTAGGATGATTCCTTGGGCCATCCTGAGCCCTCACCAAAGGGTCCCCGAGGACACTGCCAACTGAGTCTTGCTGCTCACTTCAGCTTGTCTCAAGTACACCTGCCTGGGTTGGGGTAGCTGCTGCTGCTAAGTGTTATCATCGAGTTGGTGCCAACTCATAAAAACCCTGTTTAAGGTTTCTGAGGAGCAGCTAGTGAGCTTGAAGTTCAAACCGACCTCTATCCACCTTTACTTTAGAAGGTCTTTGTCTCCTTATCCTCAGTCTCTTCTAGCTACACAACATCATGTCTTTGATCATTGTTCCTGCTTCTTTTTTCCTTCCTTCCATTTGGAGCCACTCCTAGCAAGGTAAATATAGCTCTAGCCTTCAGCCAGAGGCTAAAATTCTTTCATCCAATGTTGTAACCTCTTGGTTTCTGATGCTTTGTTGCACTAGCCCATAGATAAACTGTAGTTTTCCCAAGTGTTCTTTATGTTCTTTATTTTCTTTATGTTCCTTTTTCAGGTAATAGAGCATGAACATCCAGTAAATAAGATTTCTTTCATTGCCCGTGATGTGACAGACAACCGGGCATTTGGTTATGTGTGTGGAGGAGAAGGCCAGCACCAGTTTTTTGCCATCAAAACAGGACAACAGGTAAGCTCTAAATCTTGAAGTAAACCTAAGAACTTGTCCCCTATTGGAAGGAGCCCTGGCTGCACAGCAGTTAAGCACTCAACTGCCGACAGATCAGCAATTCAAACCCACAACCCATGCCACAGGAGAAAGACGCGCTAGTCTTCTTCTGTAAAGATGACAGTCTTGAAAACCAGGTGGTCTTATAAGTGCTCCATGTGTCACCTACTGAGCCCTGTAGTGTCTGTCAGTATACCAGAAACCTCGAGGAAAATAATCAGATGCAGGAGGATTAAACTGATCCAAAGAACGACTATCTTCATTGACCTAAATTTCAAACACTCAAAAGAAAATACTCAAACAGTAAGTGACACAACAGTTATGAGAATGAACTTTCTTATGAGGTCAAAGTCAATGCTACTTTTAGAATAATTGCAAATGCCTTGAGAGAGGTCTTGATAGCACTTCTTTTGTTCAAACATTTATTAACCTTGCTGTTCTTTAAACGTTGATGGCGGTGCTCTCCTATAAACCCAAAGAACAGGGTGATGGGGGCTGAGGATCTTTAAGAGAAGGAGGAACTGATGGGGCGGGGAAGGAAGAAAATATTAAGATTAAAATACTAATGAAATGCTTTCTGTTACTTTAGGCTGAACCATTAGTGGTTGATCTTAAAGACCTTTTTCAAGTTATCTATAATGTAAAGAAAAAGGAAGAGGAAAAGAAAAAGGTAAGTACTACAGAAAATAGGGTCTTACATTTTAAACTCTATAGACAGTTCCCAGGTTATGAATGAGATCTATTCCTAAGTGTATCTTGATGTCAAATTTGTAGGCTAAGTAGGAACAGATATATATGATTCTTATTTAGCCTTTCTTTAGGTAAGAAAAGGTTCAGTACCTTTTCAGTGATTTAAAAACTACACATGCAGCAAGTAAAGGGGTTGTGATAAAGAATTTGTTCCAACGAAGGGTCAGCAGTTCAAACTCACCAGCTGTTCCTTGGAAACCTTATACAGGGTCGCTATGAGTGAGAACCAACTTGGCAGCCCTTAACAACAGCAACAAGGGTTGGTCCAGTCATTTACAAGTGAGGGCAAATTTCTGTAACATTAAAGTGCAAGTACCAGTTGTCCCTGGAATCCTGGTGTGGCACTTTAGGATAAGCTCTGGACAGCTAACCACAAGGTCAGCAGTTCAAACCCACCAGCCACTCTTCAGAGACCCTATGAGTTGTAACTGATGCAATGGCACTCAACAACACCACCACCAGTTGGACATCCTAAGTTGAATGTTCATAACCGGGGGCTGCCTGTATTCAAGATGGTATTCAAACGTGATGCAAACATATAGCTTCTCTAGAGAAATAGAAACGTGTTGTCTCTTTTCCTAATAACGCAATGGATGGCATTTCCAATTTCCAGTCTCTGGCTCTTATTTTTATTCCTAACATGCTTCATATTTATTTAAGATATCATATACAGGACAAGTTTAAATTCAATAAATCTATTCAAATCCAGTATTTATATGAAAAAGGGAGGGAAACATAGGGCAAAAATAATACACAAGACTTTCTTGCCTTATACCTGTAAATCTATAAGTATATTCTTTGATTTAACTCCCTTTAGCTACAATAACTAAGATAGCTGCATTTCTAATCTTTTTTAGACTGAAGAAGCCAACAAAGCAGTAGAGGTAAAACTACATCTTTACTTCTTGTGAAGTGCATGTGTGACCTACGTAAGCTCTAATGTCATCCTCCAAGTACTTTCCACTCATAGTTTGTCACCATATGTTCATGATCTCTGGCCCCAGAAGCTGTATAGTTGAATAATCATTGCCAAAATCATAATTGTTTAGCAATTCAATGCAGTAGGAAAATAAAATGTGTAGGGAAAACACGCTAACTAAGCTCTTCAATATTTACCATCTTTCAGAATGGGAATGAGGCCCTAATGAATCTTGATGACCACACTACCAAACTCAAATTGGTATGTATGCAATACTTTCCTGAACTCAGGTTCTACTGAACTGTAGATGTTGCTAGCACTAAGTTTGTGTTAATTAAATTAAATTAGTTATGACCATTATTTCCTAGACATTTTTGTCAATACACAAAGTAGTCATTTGAGTAGAAACATCTGAATCTACTCAAAATGCTTTTTTAAGGATGTTGATTGACCAGATGGATTTATTTGGGGACATGTCTACACTTCCTGACCTAAATGGCACAATACCAAATCTACACTATTTAAATGAAAACTAATTGTGACAACTATGTTTTCCTAAACATTAGTTTAGGAAATATTTGCTTCAATATACAAACTAATCTTTCTTGGTAGACACATCTGAATCTAATCCAAATACTTTTTTAAGGGTGTTGACCAGATGGATTTGTTTGGGGACATGTCTACACCTCCTGACCTATATAGCCCAACAGTAAGTGTCTGTTTTTAAATTTGTAATATAATGGAAATGACATCTATAACCCAAATCAGCAAGTGACCAGAAATATGGAGCATCTCATGGAAACATAAATGACTACTGATTTTTCGACATAAATTGTAAATCACTGCTAGAACAAATTTGAATCTAACGTCTCAACAGAAACTCATCAGTACTAAATAAGATATGTTACTATTTCTTAGAGGTAAAATCTGAATATTAGGTCAGGCATTGCAGTGCTTCTTGGTATTCCTGGAGACAAGAAGGAGCTGAATGAAAAAACACTTGACATAAACCTACTTGAAAGTTTTACAAAGGGACTTCAAAATCTGTGTGGAAAAATGGAATTGAGAGGTAATGAAATTTTTCCAGGAGTATTTTTGAAATCCCATCCTACATTAAATAACTAATCATAAAGCCTACTTCTACTAGCCTCTTTATTTTCTACCACTCTTTCTGTGTAATTTAACCACATAAGCCTGTTTTGAACTAAAACTTAGCATAAGCAAGAAATTCAGTTACGTTTAGCCAAAGTCTCCTTTGCTAGAAAAATTGCTCATTGTTATATATCATGTATATGAAGCTTTCTTGATATTGATTGATTCACAACAACCCTGTGAGAATAGAACAATATTTTCCTTTATAGATTAAGGAAATAGGGCTCAGAAAAAAAGTCATTTACCCAAGCAAGAGGTCCATATCCCAAGAGTAAACTCAGGACTTCAGACCTTCCCAAACAGGCCAAGAATGAAACTATCCATAGTATTTTACATAACTTCTCACATTTCTCTTTTCTATTCAGATTTCTTGAGTGTTGGCTTTTTGCAAGGAACAACAGTTAGTGAGATGTATAACATGACATTGTGGAGTTACTATCTAAAACAGAGACCAACATTAAAACTCATCACAAACCTATTAACTACAGTGGGGTGTTATGCTGTTAATGTACACTGTATTTACCAAGTTTCAAGGTTCAGTGAATGTTTCTAAAGCAATAAGTTCCTTGCCTTGAATTCAGAAGATGAGAAGGCAAAAGCTAAGCAAAAAGAAAGTAGTCTAGAATCCTGAGAAGGCTGTCTATCTAGGAGTCCCTTCTGAGTACTGCCAAGCAAGTTTACATGACCAGGAAGGTCACAGGAATTCAAGCAACAGAGCAGAATTGAGTGAGTGCCTCACTTCCCAGAGAGCTTTGCAGAGAATGCCAGGCCTGTGAACTCTCACTGCATTAAACACCCAGGTCAAGTGAGGTGATGGCAAGGTTCAGGAGCTGGCTACACTATTCTTTGCTTCTAACTCTATGTGCAATATTAAAGCATTTTAAAGACCCTAAAAAGTCTGCAGTAGAGAAGATAGTTTAATGTTCTTTTAAACTGTAGTTGCTAATTCACTTACCTTTCATTCCTCTTAATGGTCATTACCTTTAGAAGGGTAAATTTTTATGGCACTGAAAAGCCATTCCTGGCTCATAGATTCTTTAGATTTCTAGGCAACTTTGCCCCTGTATCTATTACTAAACCCACAACCAAAGTAAATATCTGAGTGACCTAATTTCCAAATATAATTGACATTCAAACAAGTATATTGAGATAAAGCGAGAGCAAAGCACTCAAAATATGCAATGGAACTCCAGGGAAGCATTGACTGTTTAATCTGCTCCACAGACTTCTAGGAGCTTGTGGGTCTCACTCATTAGATTTCATGCATTCTCAGAATTAGTGACTTACGGGAGGAAATTGAGTTTTAATTAAACTCATAATAATTAAAACAAAACCCATTAAAATAAATTACATGTTCCTACATATTGACTTCATACCACAAAATAGTGTGATCTCTTTCTTACAAATCACCATGTTTTAAAACATTCAAATCTTGCAGCAACAATTGCTCTGAAAGACAGACAATAGAAAGAAATCTAAATTAGCTAGGCTTTATCACTCTTATCCTTCATTCAGTTGCCACCTTTCCCAAAAAATAATGCAGAATATTTTATACCACTTCAAGTAATGTTGATGTTATAAATTATTTGTCATCCGTTAGAACATAATTTTGATTGGAAAATTACTTGAGCCTATGTTGTTGTTGTTATGAAGCTCTGTCAAAATGACTCTGACCCATAGCGACCCTGTATAGGGTTTCCAAGGAGCAGCTGGTGAGCTTGAACCACCGACCTTGAAGTTCAAATGACTTTGCAGTCTGACGCATTAGCCCACAGCGCCACACCAGGACTTCAATTGAGCCTATACTGTACCTCAAAAAAATCCCAAGCACACACACATGAAAAGCCATGCTCTCTAACTTTGAGAACTTGACCATTTAACAGCATAGTCATGAGAAGAATTTAAGGCATGGTCCATCAAGGACCACTGCTTGTCTCTCAGTCTGTGATACTGTGGTAGCTTGTGTTTTGCTGTGATTCGGAAAGCGATACCACTGGTATTTTAAATACCAACAGGGTCGTCCATGGTAAACAGGTTTCAGCAGAGCTTCCAAACGAAGACAGACTAGGAAGAAGGAAAGATGAACTATTTCTAATATTTACTCACTGAAAACCTTATAATAGCCGTGGAACACTGTCAGATAGTGCCAGAATATTGAAGGGATTAGGCAGTGTTTCATTCTTTTGTGCATAAGGTCACTATGAGTAGGTACTGACTTGATGGCACCTAACAACAACCATCAAGGAGATTATATCTGGCATAAGGGATGAGATCAGAGAAGAAAATAAAGTATAAACATCATGCATACATAAAATGCTACAGGGTGGTCCTGGTGAAGGTGAAGTTGAATTACAAAGATCAATTGACAAAAGCTTTGTAAAGAATCTGTATCTGAGTTGGATCTTTGAGGTGTATAGGAAAATAGATAGTAATTAAGCTAGAAACTATTCAGTTTCTATTGTGGATCATTTGAACAATGTTATCTTAATTTAAGTGTTATCTTAATTTAGGGAATAGCAGGAAGACACCTAAAGCCTTGAAGTAGGGGAGTCCTGGACTCAGCAGTCTGTCTGGGTAGAATTATTAGATGATGTTAGCTACCTGCAAAACATCTATGCTATGGAACCCAACATTTAAAACCTTGCCTTTGTGCAGAAACCTCTTTGGTTGCTTGCATGTCCTCCTCCTACCCACTGCTACCCTACCCTCACCTGACCTTCTTAGTAGCTGAGACTGCAACTCACTTTTGTAGTCAGTACTCAAAGGTGATCTCCTAAGGGTTCAAAGATGGCTGAGTGAATACAGTGTTACCAGCTTAGGAAGGAATGAATAAATCTCTGACCCAGGGGCAGATCAGATGAGGAGTCTCAAGTCCTTTGGTTGTAGTCTATGAAGTAGACTGTCAGTCTTGGATTAACCACAAACCAACCTGAGGAGAACCTTATACATTTGACTTATAGGGTGACTATTCAGAAGTCTAACATTGTGGTTCCTGTTCGGTGTCTTCAGAACTTCTTCTGAAAAGCAGAATTCTACCAGCAGTGAACACCCAACTGTTTTAACCCAGAGGTGGCTCATAATAAATGAATGAACGTTGAAATCACAAGCTTTGTAATAAATTTTGTCCTACCCTTTGATTGTACAAAGATCCCTACATTAAGAAATCCTCCTGTTGATTTCTTTGATTTAAAAAAATAATTAATTACAAACTCTTTCTTTTGATAAAGTTTTCTAGTTATAAAGAGAAAACCAGGCTTTTTAAAACTGTATTTTTAATATTCCATAATAAAGGAAATCAGAAGATAAAATACCATTTAGATCGGATTTTGCTGTCTCTTCTGTGGCCACAAAGTAGGACCTAAACGCGTTTGTTCTTTAAAAACAAGGGTGCCTCCCTAGTTTGAGAATTTCACACTCCTTTGAAGTGATTTTGGTCCCAAATGTCCCCCAAATTTCATAATTTGTTAATGTTAGATTTCTAACTTCCATTTCAGCAAGGGATTTTTTTTATTATTTGTATACCTGATGTGGCGCTGTGGGCTAATGTGCTGGACTGCAAAGTCGTCTTGAACCACAGGGTCACCGGTTCCAGCTTACCAGTTGCTTCTTGGAAACCCTATACAGGCTTACTATGACTTGGAACTAACTCAATGGCGCTTGACAACAACAACAAAATACCTCTATCGCTATCATAGACTGCTGGTGTGGCACTGTAGGATCAGCACTGGATTGTGAATCACAAGGTTAGCAGTTCAAACCCACCAGCTGCTACTTGGAATCCCTATACAGGGTTGCTATGAGTTGGAACCAACTCATAGTTGCTATGAGTTGGCAACAACATAGCTATCATAGTTAAATATTTAATGGCTCAAAGTCAGTCAGTAGGAAGGACTGTCAGTATCATAGCTCCATCCCCAAATGAAGCCTAATGAGTTATGCCATTGATTTGAATAAAGACATGTCACATGTCATTCCAGGAGGCTTATTTTACATAACAATTGAGACGCCAAAAGATAAACACACTAGGCGAGCTAAAACATAATAGAGAGGAAAGAAACTTACAAGTATGCATCACTTAAAATCCATAATATGTTCTGTGAAACAAGATGCCATGTGATTTGAACATTGTGTACATACCATATTAAAGAATCATAGGAGCTGCTTCCAGTTGTCCTAATTACCACTGCTACTGCGGCTACTGGAGCTGCTGATGAAGGCAAGTGGAACCAACTGTCATTGGCAGCAGTGGTGGGAGCTGAGCAAGAGGAGCCCCGAGGCAGGCAGCGGACAGCGTCCTGACTCCACAGCCACTGATGCTGCTGAGACAGAGTCCAAGAGCCCATTCTCAGAGCTATGTCCTCCCCGTGTATCCCACTCATGATCTTGTGCTAATATAGTGATTGTTGTTGTTAAATGCCATCGAGAGTCGATTCTAAATCATAGCGGACCTGTGTAGGGTTTCTGAGGAGTGGCTGGTGGGTTTGAACCTTGCAGTTCAAACTGATCTTTCGGTCTAGTGCTAATCCTATAACGCCACACCAGAACGCCTCGAAATCATTGTTGTTGTTGTTAAGTGCCGTCGAGTCGGTTTCGACCCATAGCGACCCTGTACAGGGTTTCCGAGGGTGTAAATCTTTATGGGAGTAGAAAGCCTCATCTTTCTCCCGCGGAGCAGCTGGTAGTTTCGAACCGCTGGGGGAAGTAAAAGGAGAAAGCTGTTTCCTTTAAAAAGAAACAAACAAAACTTTGTTGTTGTTGTTGTTGTTAAGTGTCGTCAAGTCTGTCCCAACCCATAGTAACCCTGTATAGGGTTTCCGAGGAGTGACTGGTGAGCTTGAACTGCCAACCTTGCAGTTCAAATGGCTTTGCAGTCTGGCACAAAGCCTTACAGGACCATAAATTTATATGAGGACAAACATTGTTCCAATGGACTAAATGATGCATACTTCTGTTAGAGTTACATGTTTGGTATGTCTTTCTCATTAAGTCTTAAAACCCACCTCTTCGCTGTATACACAAAGATTAGGGATTAATTGACTTTAATCACCAAATGACTGTTGTGATTGTCATAAACCAGGTGTCTCTAATCTATGTTATAAGAAAATACACAAGGAAGGTAAATGTGATTTATTATGGCAACTAAACCAGTTATAGGAAAATGTATTTGACCTTAAACTTCTTAACAACTAGAATAATAAAATCTGAATGTATTAGCCAATCATTTCATTTATTTGGAGAAAGGAAGCCAGATGACTCTGGGAATAAAACACAGTAAACCAGTACATCAGATAGAAAGTGAAGCTAGGCCTCTGAGGTTACTTTTTACTTTTAAAAGCTCAATGTACTTTGAAAATCACTTAAAAACAATTGATAGATAGCCACTCTGAGACTTTATAAGCCATTAACTGAAGAGTGGTGACCATGAACTCACCCAGTCTGCCTGTGGAAACCACAATGAACAGAGAGCTATTTAAGTAAGCGCAACAGTAAGATTTTATTTAAAAACCCAGAAAGTTGAGATTTAAATAGAAAAACTTTGGGAGAGGGTGGGCAAGTAAGACTTGTTATGCAACTGGTAAATGCACATTGGGAGATGGTGGGAGAAGATGATGGCCAACTTAAGGCCAAACTCTAACAGGAATCTCGATAATCCTGGTGATGGTGTGTAACTTTCTCATTTGAAGTCACAACATGGACTAACACTTTCTCTCTTTTTTTTTTTTCTTTCCAAATGTGATAGGAAAGCAAAGATATCCTGTTAGTGGATCTAAACTCTGAAATCGACACCAATCAGAATTCTTTAAGAGAAAATCCATTCCTAACAAATGGCATCACCTCCTGCTCTCTTCCTCGACCAAAGCCTCAGGCATCCTTCTTGCCTGAAAATGCTTTTTCTGCCAATCTCAACTTCTTTCCCACCCCTAATCCTGATCCTTTCCGTGATGATCCTTTCACTCAACCAGACCAATCGGCACCCTCTTCGTTTGATTCTCTCAAATCTCCAGATCAGAAGAAAGAGAATTTGAGTGGCTTGTCTACTCCACTGAGTAATGGGCCCCTGAATGGTGATGTCGATTACTTTGGTCAGCAATTTGACCAAATTTCTAACCGGACTGGCAAACAAGAGGCACAGGCAGGCCAGTGGCCCCTACCAAACACACAGACCCAGCCAGCAGTGAGAACTCAAAATGGGGTATCTGAAAGAGAACAGAACAGCTTCCATATCAAATCTTCCCCGAACCCTTTTGTGGGAAACCCTCCCAAAGGACTGGCGGTACCGAATGGCGTAAAGCAGGACTTGGAAAGCCCTGCCCAGTCCTCACCACATGACTCCATAGCCATTATCCCACCTCCACAAAGTACCAAACCAGGAAGAGGCAGAAGGACTGCTAAGGTGAATTATCTTCTCCGCATCTCCATTGGCAGAATGCATGTTCGGTACCAAAGGGTGGTGTGATAGATGCGCTCATACTTGCTGCTCTTGTAGTTTCCTGTGTGGCTGTAAACTAGAAGGTGGGACGAGACACTTCAGTTCTCCAGGAATACCCTTCTCTAATCACCATCCTCCTTAAGCCTCTCGCTCAGCAGTGTTTGTCACTCCTTGCTTTCCGTTTGCATGACTTGTCACTTCTTCTTAACTAAACACGAGTTTTTCCATTTTTAATGCTGCTATGCTTCTGTACTTCTGGTAAGTTTGATCACCGTGTTCTGGGTGGGGAGGGCAAGTGTTCCTGTGATTCTCATTGTTCCTTCCCCCACACTAATTAACCCCACACTTACCTCTCTTGTTGTCCCAGGGAGTCATGCACAATTGTTGAATTTACCTCCTCTTTTTAAGTGCTGACTGAATAATCCACTGTCTTAAAAGGAACTTATTTGCTGTTACCTCTCTAGTGTGGTTTCATAAAAAGTAATAAAAACTGAGATGTCTCTAAGTATCTTTATTTAAATCTCCCTTTTAAGCACGCAGGGTGACGTAATGATTAAGACTAAGGTCATCTCTGTGTAGTCTGATTTAAGTCTGAAAGAATGATCAAAAATATTTAGGCTACTTATTTATAGTTGCCTTTCCTTTCCCTGCTTCAAGTGGGGATATAGAGACTAGGCAAATGTGTGAACAAGCAAAACAGATTTCACTTTGATAATCTTGGGTTGTATCAAGTAGTGATTACAAATCGGGCTGTGAACCGCAAGGTCAGTAGTTTGAAACTACCAGCTGTTCTGTGGGAGAAAGATGAGGCTTTCTGCTCCCGTAAAGATTTACAGCCTCGGAAACCCTGTACAGGGTCGCTATGGGTCGGAATCGACTCAACGGCACTTAACAACAACAACAACAATCAGTTACAAAGATCTTTGTCCATTGCAGATCTCTGTGTATGTGCATGTATGACTGTACATGTTTATTAGTAATAGGAAAACATCTATGATTTTCAGTTTTGAGCTAGAGTAAAAGACAAGAGCCATATTTCACAGTTGCTGAATAACTCTTCTCTTTCCCTCCCTGCCATGTCAGTCCTCAGCAAATGACTTGCTTGCATCAGACCCCTTTGCTCCTCCTGTCTCAGAATCTCCAGGACAGACATCACCAACAGGGCAACCTGCAGTTCTACAGACCAATCCTCTGGATCTCTTCAAGACAAGTGTTTCTGTCCCAGTGGGGCCCCTTGCAAGTCTAGGTAGGTGCCTAGAGATTGGGTGAAATGTAGTGCTGTTACTTTCATGTATAAAATAAAGATGCATAGGAAAAAGGTGCTTCATAGCCACAGGAGGTTCCACGGACCCTAGGGATCCTTCTTCCCACTTTTGCCCTGTACAACCCCACCGTACTTGAACCTCTTGATTTGTAACTGAATTTCCCCTTTGAGTTACCTGTGAACAGAAACCATTTTAAACATTTGCACCTACCTGAACCAACTGGCAATAACTTCCTTGAAAGCAGTTATAAAGGACTCTAGAGGTCAGACCCACTTCAGTGAGGAGAAGGGGTTGAGATGGAAGGATGAGATGATACGCATGCATGGCTGCCAAAGTCTTTTGCCATTTTCACATTGAAAACATATCTCCTGCCAATCTGTATCCCTAGTGGGAGGCCTGTAGATTAAGTCTGAAGCAAATGTAAGATTTAGGATGAAAATTCTTAGTTCTAGACCTCTGTTAAGACTCTGAATATTTAAACTTTATCAGCTCCTTGTTGATACTTTGGCTAGCTACCTTAGTAGTGTCAGGAGATAAGTACTAAAAACTAAAGTTGAAAAAGCACAGGCATGTGAGAAGAAATGAAATATTATCAGATACTGAATGCTCTCATCCATGAATGTGTCATTAACTTACGTGCACCCTTGAGTCCCTCAATGGAAGGGCAATGCAGAAGGCCACTTGACTGAAAGCTGGCCCTGCTCCTCTTCACCACAGCCTCCAGTTCTTTGCTGCCTCCATCGTGCAGTTTTCAGAAATCCTCATAAAAGTCTTTGCTGTCCTGCTGGAGATTCTCTTTGTTTTTTTTCTGCTGCTTGGCACCTGTACAAGTTCCAAATCAACTTAGCTTGGGAAGGGGTGTACAGATGAAGAGCAGCGCTCCACCCTCGTTGGTAATATTTGACCCAGGATAGTGGTTTTCTCTGCCTCCTGCAGAGCCAGTCATCAGCACCCATTTTCTCCCCATCTCTGCTCTGTTCCTGCAGAGGATATTCTGTCCTAGGAAACTGGTCCAGTTGTGTCTGGTGTAGGGTGATACAAAGAGTGATTTGTACCCAGTTGCTGAAATCCATACTTGCATTTACACCATCAAGAGACTTTCATGATTTCAGATCTCTTAGGGGTTTCCTTCTTACTCTGTAGCTCTCTGGCTCCTCTCTGACCAACAACTCCTCCGCGCGCACGCACACACACACATACACACCCTTTGCCACCCCTTACAGAGCTGATTGGTGCCTTTCCTTCCTGGATGGATAAGGAGCTTGATGCAGTACCCACGACTAGACTAGACCATCTCAGAGCTTTGTACTCCAGTATCAGTGCCCTGAAGAATTTTTACAGCCAATATTTAACAAGTCAGCCTGAAAATACAGCTGGACCCTATAACTGTTAATTTATTCAGACGAAGTGAAGCTTTTTGGCTAGGTGCCTCTGTTGAGGCCTTGGGGTATACAACTGCAGAATACTGATGACTCTTCCAAGTTTGGACATGGAACTCAAACTGAGCTCTACAGTATAGCCCCTGTCCACTAGCAGGGATCCTCAGCCAAACCATGGAGGTTGTAGGTCTGGCTTCCGCTGGACCCAGCTGGGAGAGACTCTCTTGTGGAGAACTGTGGGGGTGGGGAGGGCTGAGCTCTCAGTTTTGACTTGTCACCCTGTGTTTTAACCTAGCTACCAAAGGTAATAAAATTAACTTTTTATACCCACTCTCTCTTTCCCTACCCCTTTTAGCCCTCCTTTCTCCAGAGGTGCCTGAAATGTTTTGAAAACATGGTGTATGGTATCTGGTGGATAGGAACGAAGGTTGGCATAAGTATGTACAGGAAAATCCTTTAACTCCTGGCAAATACGTGATTTTGTTCTTTCGCCACCACTCCCACTAATGCCATTTATGACTAAAGCCACACATTTTCCAAAGGAAAGGCTAACAGTCTAACATGACTGATGATAAAAGCCTATCCAATTTCTAGCGCACCCAATTGATGGAAACTATTAGTGAGTAGTTCTGACTTTAGCTAATAAAAGTTAAATGATTTTTTTTTTTATTGGGAAAAAAAAAATGCTAGCCATAACTTATTTGAAAGTAAACCCACTTTTAGAAGCCTGTATTATTGACTCTAACAGAACATTTCTCTTGATCTGTTGTGAAAGGAGTTTACTCTGTAAGTCAAATGAAGTCCAATTTATGTATCTGTTAAATGAATTGACATCCATTTAAAAACCAACAAACAAAAGTTTTATCCCTGAATGTCAGGAAGGTAGGAGGGACAGGGTGCTAAATTCAGATTTAGGGTGCCGAGATTCTAGTCTCTGCTTTTACAGACTCTGACTTTCCCCATTTTAATAACCTTTTTGGTCCCCAGTTTCCTAATCTCAAAAATAAGCATGTTAAGATGACTTTCTCTTCAGCCCTCCACTCTCACTCTCTGAACACACCATATGTGTTCATGACCAGATGGACAGATTTCATGAAGACATCAACCACTACCTCCAATACTAAGAAGCTTTTAGATAGGGCATCTTGTTGGGACCCTGAACACCATTTCCAAAGTATTTCTTGCTCTGAAAACCACAACTTTTATAACTTAAAAAGTGTTCTGCTCAAAGTTCAAAGCAAATAGGTTTTGAGAACAGAGTCTAGTCTGTGAATGAGGCTGAATTTAGGTTTTCTGTTAGTGGTGACGGCTTAACTGGATCATTAATACACTTTTCCTCTGCAGGAAAAAAAATGCCCTCTATACTAGAACAACATGCAGGACATGGGTCTCTCAGGGAGAAATGGGTTTTAGTGATTCAACTAGCTTCTATGGCAAGGGTGCAAGAGGTGTCACCACTCACCCACAAAGATCAGAGACTCCAACACCAAGCGATTAGTTAATTATGGCAAAGGTTTTTGTTTCCTGTTGTCTCCATTCCTTCCCTTCCTTTCAAATACCCTGTGCTGAGTTCTGGCAAAGTGTAGTGAGTGACACATGGCAGTTTATTCGCTTCTATTCAAAACAGTCCTCCTAAGACAGACAGCCTTTCCTCAATTTTGTATGTAAAAATCTAAAACTATCTTCATCAACCAAATTTTATCTTCCATTTACATAACTGTCAACCTTGGCAGCATTAAACATGAGGAAACATTGAAATGGTTTCTATGGGGTGAAAGCATACATGGGCTAAGGGACATGTATAGCTGGTCTCCGTATGACTCCAGACCTGAGCCAGATGTCAGATTAAAAGATGAAATCGATCAGAAGACCCCATGTTGTAGTTAAGTACTTTCCAGTTGGTTCCAACTCATAGCAACCCTATATATAGGGTTTCTAAGTAGTGGTTGGTGAGCTTGAACTGCCAACCTTGCATTCCAAACTGATCTTACCGAGTACCCTATGGATTATCTCAATTAATTACTAATTAATCAACATGGATTGGATATATACAGTTGATTCAATAAGTTCCTATTTATTGACAGGTTCTGTTCTAGTTTGAGATACATCAGTGTATGTATTATTAAGAGTTAATTTTTGCAGTGCGGTAACATCAGCACTATACTGCAGACGACAAGGTCAACAGTTCAAACCCACAAGCTATTCCTTGGAAACCCTATATATGGTCGCTATGAGTCAGAACCAACTCAACGGCACTTAACAACAACAAGTATTTATGGACTACATTACCCTCTTTTGAATAAAGTAAAACAGGTTTAGCCCCACCGCACAATGGAAAGAGCATGGACTTCAAAATGTAGCCAGGATTTGAATGCTGGATGTTCTGTAATAGCTAGTTAAACTTTAGAATGATTGAATCCCATGGAGAGAATGAGGTTTTATGAGCTTATGATAGAGATGGCTTCAAGCTTAATGAAGGTGTTTTGCTGTGTAGATACTCTATCAATGCTTCTTGGAGAGTTGGGCTTTCTGAAACTCAAGAACCATCTTTGAAGAAAAAGACTAATGACACATGGCCCTAGCTGTGTGATGAAACCCAAGAGGTTCACCTCTGGGTGTAGATTCAGCAACAGGATTTTGAACAACATAAATGTCTGATTTGTACTGTTCTGTGCCTTACTGTTGTTAGGTGCCATCTAGTCAGTACTGACTCATAGTGACCTCATGCACAGCAGAACGAAACACTGCCCAATCCTGGGCCAACCTTACTACTGTTGCCACACTTGAGTCCATTGATGTTGCCACTTGGCCAATCCATCTCGTTGAGGGTTTTCCTCTTTCTTCTCTGACCCTCCATCTTACCAAACATGATATCCTTCTCCAGTGACTGGTCCCTCCTGACAATATGTCTGAAGTATGAGAGACAAAGTTTGGCCATCTTTGCCTCCAAGGAGCACTTTAGTTGCATTTCTTCCAAAACGGATCTAGGTTTTTTTGGCAGCCCATGACACTTTCAATAATCTCCTCCAACACCATAACGCAAATGCATCAATTCTTCTGTGGTCTTCCTTAATCACTGTCCAGCTTTCGCATGCATATGAGGTTATTGGAAATACCATGGCCTGGGTCAGGTGCACCTTAGTCCTCAAGCTGACTTCATAATGCTGGTTAATGGAAAGGTGACAGCCATATGTTATTAATGCAAACACATTATAAGCTTGGGCTTATCTTTTGGCTTGCCTATTAGAGTTTAGCCACATCACTCATGGAAGCAGTAGGAGGTATCTTAAGATGTCTTTGACAAAGCAAACACTTCTTCAACCTTTGTGTATTTGTTTGGGAATCTATTACACACTTGATTTATTCCCACAAATATTTAATCATGCCTACTCTGGTAGCGTAGTGGTTACGAATCGGGCTGCGAATCTTAAGGTCAGCGGTTCGAAACTACCAGCCGCTCCGCAGGAGAAAGATGAGGCTTTCTACTCCC